CAGGTGCAGAGGTGCAGAGACAAAAGATGACCTTGGCTTTCTAGAAAGAATGTTGTTATGGCTACATAGCATCTAAACTCCATACAATCCTCCCTCTCATTTTCCCACCATAGAAAAGGCATAGTAGAATAATAGAAAGCGTGGCAGGCCAAAAAGCCACAAGAAAACCGCAGGCCGGATACTCCGCTTATTGGCTTCCTCTTCTTTCTCTTCAGAGTGGGATCTGTTCCCAGATGGATGGTGACCCCTGAACCCGCTTCGACCGCCGCCAGCCTCTCGGTAGAGTCCAAGGCTTCGCCATGTGGCACAAGGCCCTGTGTGTGGCTGTGTTGGCCCTGGCCACCGGCTCTGTCTTCTGGCTGGATCCCGCTTGGCCGGATTTCCTGTGGGAGCATCTCTCGGGGACCTTCCTGTACCAACTTCGGGGGGACCTGGGGTCTCCAGAAGGCAGCATGGCAGAGGCCTGGGATGCCGTCATCACCCGGCCGGCCAAGCAATGGAACAGAGTTGCTGTGGGGTAAGGAGTGATCGACTGATTCCTTGGGGTGATGTAGAGTTGAAGAACACCCCAAATTTAACGGCTCTTGAGGTTTTGTGTTATCAGCACAAGAGTTGGTTGCCTAGAATTATGGCACAAGGAAGGTCATCATGGGGAATTTTCATCATGGGGAATTTTCGGTTTGTGTGTGTGTGTAAGGCCTGGTCTTCGTTTTTCCAAAGTACAATTGTCATCCATTCTAAGGCAGAAGACGCCGTGCGAATGGGAGGGTTTTTCTTAATAAAAGGTTTTTTATTTTTCAACATATAAACACTCCGTCTTTCCTTAAACAGTGTGTCGTCTGGTGCAAATACCTCTGCGCAACAGCCTTCAGCATTTATAACCATTCACATCAATATTAATTTTTCTAATCTTAAAACTATAGTATATTAAGCAATTGAACATCATTAACCTCCTCATTTTCCTCTTAACGTATCTTCTAATAAAAATGCAATAGCATTAAAGCTTCTCCTCATACTAACATCATCTTATTTATACCTCTATCTCAGTGTTTTTCAACCACTGTGCCGCGGCACACTAGTGTGCCGTGACATAGTGTAAGGTGTGCCGTGGGAGAATTACTTTATATATAGTNAGCACCTGAGGGCAGGACAAGAAGCAACGGGTGGAAACTTTAAGGAGAGAACCTAGAAATAAGGAGGAATCTGTGAATCTGGTTTCCCCGTTGGGTTTCCTCATCAGAAGGTCGCAAAAGGGGATCACGTGACACACACACACTCCCCGGATGCTGCAACCGTCATAAATATGAGTCGGTTGTGCCAAGCGGCTGAATTTTGACCCTGTGACCATGAGACCACTGTAATGGTTGCAAGTGTGAAAGAGAGTCCTATGTCACTTTTTCAGTGCTGTTGCAACTTCTAATGGTCACTAAACAAATCATTGTATATAGAGAACTACCCTGTAATTCTAGGTCATTCTCTTATGACGAAGTCATAAGTTTCTTAAGACGTTCCAAGCTTTGCTTCTGAATGTAAAACAATGGGATGGAATGGGGTCAAGAGGTCAAGAGTGATTCCCTGTTCCAACACTTTGGTTTCCAGCCCCCAGAACCACAACTGACCTCTTCAGAGGCTAAAACGTATGAAGAACGGTTGCAGGAACTGGGTAGGTCTAGTTGGATGAAAAGAAGGACATGGGGAGACAGGATAGCAGTCTTCCAATATCTCAGGGGCTGCCCCAAAGAAGAGGGAGTCAAGCTATTCTCCAAAGCTCCTGAGGGCAGGACAAGAAGCAATGGGTGGAAACTAATCAAGGAGAGAATCAACCTAGAACTAAAGAGGAATTTCCTGACACTTAGAACAATTAATCAGTGGAACAACTTGCCTCCAGAAGTTGTGAATGCCCCAACACTAGAAGTCTTTAAGAAGATGTTGGATAGCCATTTGTCTGAAATAGTATGGGGTTTCCTGCTTGAGCAGGCGGCTGGACTAGAAGACCTCCAAAGTCCCTTCCAACTCTGACAGAGGGGTGAGATAGGTGAAAAAGTACAAGCAATGGTGCCAGCCAAAACGCACCTGAAATGTGGGTCTGCAACCATCTCGACTTGCCACACATGTTGTGCAACCGGAAGAGTTCAGGACGTGGCGGAAGATTCTGCTGTGCTGCCCCCCTTTTTTTTTTTCAATAAAAGCACCCAAACCTGTTTTCACCTCACGCAACAATTCCTGACGTTCATGGAGGAGAAGGAAGACACCAGCCAAGTTGTCTGTTTGGTGGCAGACAATTCAACGCATGGATGACTTCAGGAGCTGTTGCCTCACCTTTGTCGTCGAGTCACCTCCAGCAAATTGTCTTATTGTCCCAGCCACGCGCCTGCGAGACAGGGATGGTGGCATTTGACTTCACTTGCCCCAGCCCGGCTGGGAGGGATGGGAGTTGTGATGCAACATGTGGGGTGAGTCGATGCTACACAGGTAGCCCTTGATTAAAGGACTGCTAAAAAGCAGAGACATCACCCTGCCAATCAAAAGTGTGTCTCGTCAAGGCTGTGGTTTTCCCAGTTGCAATGGAT